GTGCGGGTCCGTCTCGAGGCCACGCGGATTACATGGCTGGCTGTGCCGGAGCGGCGTGGAAAGGGAGGTGAGGCGGCGAGAGAACGCGCCGGGACCTGCTCTGCAGCCTGTGGCCCCGGATCGGCGCGCCCCCCAAAACCGCGCCCCGGCCCACGGAGCCCGTGTGAGGGGGCCGGGCCGGGGCTGTCCGCCGCGTCCTCATTTCCCGACCCAGGGCCTAGCCCTGCAGCCTGCGGGGGCTCAGGGGCAGTGGAGCCGGGCTTCGTGACCATTTAGCTGGACAGATGCTCTCTCCTGGGTGACTGACAGTGACCGGTAGAACATGTGAACCATTAACCCGTGTCAGTACCATTTAAATTTGTTTTCTGGTGTGGATCGGTTATTTTACCTCTGGGTGATGGAGACCCGCCCTGGGCAAAAGAAGTTACCTTCTCCCCAGAGGGCAAAACAAACATGATGCGTTTCTGATCCTTCTCAGCAGGTCCTTTAGCTTTCCGTCAAGCCACCTCCTTGGGATGCTCATCGATGGGCCTCACAGATACCTGCAGTTTCACCAAGCCCATCATACCAACGATGGATCAGCAATTCATTCACACATCAACATTCCGCTACAGAGATGAATCTCACACGTGTCCTCCTCTCGATTTCTTAAGGGAAGTGCTAGAAAGCTAGACATGTTTACTGGCTGTAGGAGAAAAGAGGAAATCACGGGCAGCTCCGGAGCCCGTGGGAGGAAGGGGTGTGGAGCCCTGTGAGTGGAGGCCCTGCAGCTGTGGTCTGTTTTCTCAGCCCCAAGGATGCTGCACTGGTGCATGGATCATGTAAACTTGGTCCAGGAGGAGAAGTCTGGCTAGACGGCGTGTCCAGAAAGGGTCCATAGTGACGCCCTCAGCTCAGTCTAGAGGTGTGAACAAACTTAAAAACCTACGGTAAGTGTGATCACAGGCAAACGGGCCAAACGTCAGATTATTGCTGGGTAGTTGAACCACAGCAGGTGAACACTGATGAGGTCTGAACTGGGGATCTGAGAGTCACAGCAAATCACCGAAAACCTATCAAAAACCGAAACAAAAAATATGGTTGGAAGCAGAGGCAGGAAGATCTAGTAGACAATCTAGATCCGCCAAGGGTAATAGAAATTATATCAGACAAAGAAGTGTCACTCTTTTATCTCCACCCCTTGCCAACACATACCCTGTGTGGTGTTAAAGGGCTGGCACAAAAGATGTTTCTTGAAGAGTTTAAAATCTGATTTTAAAGGTAAAGTACCAGAGACTTCATTCCAGAGCAATGCAAGCTAATCTTCAAGTGCTAAATCATGTGTGTTTTACATAAATATGAAGGGATAGCAGGAGAAATCAATGGGGGAGTGGTGGTTAGGATGGGCTTATGGGAGGATGATGTAATAGAAAGAATTCTGGCATCTCTCACTTGTTTACCAGCCTTGTAAGTCTGGGAGTAGATATAATCTCTCTGAGCCTCTACAGCATGATCTTAAGATGTTTAAAGTAATTCTTAAAATTTCTCTCAGGATAGTTATAAATATTAGTAAGATTGTGGCTATGAAAGTCCAGACATGAGGTATAAAGATTTATGATGTACTAACAAAAGAAGTAAAGTTTCATTATGGATAGGATTAGGCTATTATTATTATTAGGCTGAATGAAGGAGAAGATATATCAAAAGGAGTCGTGTCATAATTAGGGCACTGAAAAACGAAGAAAAGTCCTTCGCAATATGTGCCTTCAGTTGCATACGGCATTGCACATCCAGCACAACTTCTGAAAGCAACATACAAGTTTTTGTTACTGGGAAATACTATCTTTAAAAACAGTATTCTTCAATTAAATTCATTACATAATGATAACTAATTTCAGAAATGGGAGGGTGAGAGGAAAGTTGAGCAAAAGTAGAATGTATTTAAAGAGTTAGAGACCACTTTCACGGATGCCTCATTCCTTTTATACCTCCATTCTCAGTACTACCATTAAATGGCATGATCTTGGCTTCTTTTACCCTTGAAACCAATTTGTTTTTAAAGCTGTTGTCTCTCTTGCTTTGAGTGAGGTAAGGAGGTGGTGTTCTTGGTAACTTGGTTAGGTTTAGATTTGGCTATTATATAAAGTACTCATAAGCAAATACAATGATTAATTTCCAGGAATCAGATCTCCATGAACTCAAATGTTTCTAATAGGTCAAGATGTTTAAAAATCAAATGTACCAAGAACGCCTGTTTGTAAGAAGGACCTAATTGCAGCAGCAGCATACCTAGCAAAACAGCTTAGAGTCCAAAACATAGCATTTCTCTGGAAAACTAATGATGGGATTTAAAAGCTGCTTGGCAACCATTAATGAAACATGGGCAATAAAACAATATAATTGTACAAGAGAGAGAATAGATATCTAATTGATGTTTTCTTGTTTAATTAGTTTTACTTTCAATTACTTTGGTGTAAACTGTGATTGAAAATACATGTAATTGTTTTCTACATACTTTTGTCTTCATTAAAAAATATTAGCTGCCTCTGGGTTTATACACCAGAAGTGTTTATACATGGATGGTATTTGGAATCAAGGCTTTTCTTTTTAGGATGTTCAAGCAGACATAATTATACAGAGAATAAATCCCTTCTTCTCCACCATGAGTAGAAAATCCTACCACTGTCCTTTCTTTGAAAAGTCTCAGAAGGTATACTCCCTCTATATTTTGCCACCTCTACATTTCATCAGTGGCCACTTAGCCTAACCCTTAAAGCCTCAGGCATTTCTGAAATCCAAGAGATCCGCTGAGGGTGAGGGTAAATTCAGCTTCAATGGAGATATCCTGCAGTTAAAGGATCATTTAAGGGATGTTCCCAAGGAGCTGTGTCATTATCAATTTGAGTAGTGAGTCAAATCTGTATCTACCTTTGATGATGGGATTGAGCAGAGAGAGATGAGGGTGCAGATTCCCCAAGTGGTGCATGTGTCCTGGCAATGTGGGCCCCCTTGACCAATCGTAAATGTTAAGGGATGCTGTGTCAGAGGGGGCTAATGGAGAGATCAGTCTTATTTACCAAACTTGTTTTAGTGACCACGGAAAGAAAATTGCCATTCTAAAATTAATAAAAGTGGCTGGTTAAGAATAATTATATTTCATCATACTGATTTGTTGGGGGCCCAAAGTTTTCAAAAATTACCCTTTGGGAAATAAATTTTAAAAATAAAATGTGTTTCAAAAATATTTTTCTAATTTGAATTTTGCATGATATCTATAGAATTAGCAATGTTTAAACAGTTCAGTTATTGATGCTAGTGAGTATTTAATAATTGGGGATTTGATGACTATAACATGGTCTGTTTATATAGAATCATTATATGATTAAATGGTTATACTCTGTGTCTTTAAG